ACTTTTCGTACAACTGATATGTAGAATATACACCACACTATGATAATGTCATAATCTCTGATTGAAAAAGTGATTAAAAAAAAACTTTTCTATGGATATCATATACATATACATATGGATACGTTGGGTGAACCATATGGCTATATGTTAACTGCTATCGTGAAACGTATCAACGTAATTTTATGACCGTATTACTTTTCATTACAGTTATAACGATTAGAAACAGTTTTCGTAAACGAGTCAAACAGTCGTCACCTAATCGTTGGATGTAGTCATTTAACCTTTGACTATTAACAGACAGGATCTGACAAGCGAACATTTCCCTTTATCAAGTTAAAACGAGCATTATTAACATTACAATTTAACGAATTGTTTTCATAAAACGATTGTCATCTTTACCTCAGTACAGCTGTTTAAAAGTGTCAGAATTTATCTAGTTTGATTGGCTCTTTGCCTAGTCCGTTTCTCTATAGTCAAAATTTAATGTAGAGCCGTTAAATGGAAAAACGACACGCCTAAAATGAGACGTCTTCGTTTATGACCGTGTTTGACCGCTGACTGACAGCTCGTTGACATGTGACAGTGACAATTAACAGCGCGCTAATGACGTCACGGATGTAGTGATCTACCGGACACTTGTCAACGACGTTGTGAAAGATCGGTGACGATTTAAAAGATATGTAAAGGAAAGATTTATTTATAGTTTCGATAAACATGGCGGAATGTGATTTTTTAAGCGCTTTTTTATTCCCTTTCCCTCAAAAATTACAGTTAAGATAAATTTTTTACTAAAATATTTTGTAAACATAAAATTAAATTAGTTGCCATTGTCCAAAATCCATTTCAAATTAATTACATAAAATGATTTATCAAAACCAATTTGCAATTTGCCAAAAGCAATCACAATAATTTTTATTTTTAATTATAGCCTACGTCATCCCCGAAACAAGGGTATGGATGAAAAATAATAATTGAATCCAAAGATAATGTTTCTAATCATTTCAAAATTTCTATTGCTTATCACCATAGTAATACGGCTGAAAATAGTGCGTTATTTTATTTTTAATGAGTTTGAAATAACTTGGCATAACACAATAATGTTATTTGTCAGGTAACTGGCCGGTAACACCCACTTTAAAAAAAAAGAAAATCTTAATTAATGTTTAAGTTTTTATTGCTATGAGAACGAGATGGCAGAAAGATAGCGGCTACCTATTTGAAATGAAAAAAAAAACTTACTTTTGTTTTTGTGAAAAAAGAAACAAAAGACAAGGATAATTCGGAATGTATTTTATGATTTACCATAGTCGTAAAATGTCTGTTATCAAAATAAATAAAATCCTATACAAAATTAAACTTCTTAATGCAATTTGGAATTTGTATTAAAATTAAGTATTATAAAACATACAGTTTTCGTACATGAGAGATAAATTATTATTAAAATCAAGAAAAAAAAAACGAAAGATGGATTGTATTTGTTTTTGTTTTAAACGTCAAATGAACTTTCATTCCTTTCTAATTAATTTAAATCTTACTTCTTACATTATAAATGCGAATGTATAGATGGATGTTTGTTTTAAGATATCTCTAGAACGGCTGAATGGATCCTGATGATATATCATCAATAGAACATAGTCTGGAAGAACCCATAGACTACTAATTATGTTTTTATTTAATTCCACGCGGTCGGAGTCACGGACGACCACTAATTATAAATAAAAACTGAAATTCCGTACTATACCTTATTTAATATGACAATGATCTTGTGGGAAAATATACGATTCTCGCAAAACCTCATCTAGAAAGTACTTATTTTATAACACACATTAAATTTATTTATTCATAAAACTCCAAGACGTTTGGTGCCAATTTTAATGGCAATTAAAAACATACTTTTCTGTATTGAGTTGTCAATGCGAAGCCCTAATTGAGATATTGACTTTTATTTAAAAAAAAATAAGATCATTCTAAATGTTTGCTTCGAGAGTGAGTAATTTTTATAATTTAACTTAAGGCGAAGCTTCAATGTTTTTTACCAACTTAATTTTTCTTAACCATTGGATAAGATCTTTGGTGCCGTTGATATGGTTTTGATTAAAATATAAACTAAGTTATGTTTGCATTAAAACAGTTTTATGTTCATTTTTAATGAGTTAAGATTTAAATGATAGCCGATAAGTTTTTTAATTATGTTTTAACAGGTTAAGTGTACTCGATATTCGGCCACCTGGGAACCAAAAGATATTGTGGTACTGTCGTTCTTTAAAACGAAGATAATTATCTTATTTAGACTCTATCATCCCTTTATTTTAAAAAACACTCAGATAACAATATATTTTTCTTGAAAGACTCTCGAAAACATTATGCAATTTGTACTTTAATGCCGTAGCAACAATTCTAGGCGAATTAATCACAATTTGATGAACCTTTTTAGTTATTTCCCTCGAATTGAATTACTAAATTGTAATATAAGATATTATGTAAATTTACAAATAAGTTTAGGATAGAGTGAAACTATTTTCGCAATTTGCAAATCGGTGTAGAGTCGCCTTAACATCGTAAACTTTATAATGGCCTTATGTTTATATTAAGAATTGCATCTCTGAAGCCGGATTTTAAACTTTGAATTCAGTAAATTGATCATAAAACAGACGTTATTGTTGCCTCCGGGTACCAATTTCGGTCTTTTATTGCTCATACCGTGTACACTTGTGTTGTAATTATCATTTCGTGGTAAAACCATTCCGATATTGTCTTTACGCCGTCTTAATTTGATCGTATTATTCCATCTTATCCGCTAATTTTGTCATTAAAACCTCCTTTACGTTGTGTTTCGACTGTAATGATACTTGTATTGACACACGTATTTGTTATTTTTAAGATAATGTATGTATGTCCGTGCGAAATTAAAAATTACTATGTTCTATATGTGTGCCAAATTTTATTAAAATCCGTTGAGCCGTTGCGGAAATACCTTCTAACAAACATTTATCCATCCATCTAAACATTCGCATTTATAATATTAGTAAGAAGTAAGATAGACCTCATGACTCCACAAGTATAGTACGACATTTATCAGACCGGTGGACATGTCAAACTAAATTACGTCAGCTCACTAGCGCCACCCTATCAATTTCAAAAGCTTAGTATTTTCTTATTTTATTAAAATAGAAATCATAAATCTGACAATAATTCTACGTAAATAACTATATAATTATAATAGTGTGAGCATAACGTCTCAGAATCTTAAGATACGTATTATTTTTTTAATTTGTACAATCCAGTATAATAGTCGCTATCGAAACGTTAGCCACCCTTGGTCTAAACCGTGTGAGTGTCATAAACTCTTGAAAAATTCTTTTCATTATCAAAAAGCATGGAAAATCATATTTCACGGTAATTATAAAATGTCAGGAATCGAATCCATTATTCAGGCTACTAAGATCACCGATCGGTAGTGTTTTTTTTTTAAATAACAATAAATAATGTGTCACAGCAGGTGAGGAAAGGTCTTTTTGTACGTTCGTCCCGGGGACAGAAAAAAAGCACACTGTCTTGTGATTCTGGTCAATGTTATCTTTTAACAAAATATGGTCCTATCCTGTAGCGTGAAATAGTTCATTTATGTATTCAGATAGAGCTGAAAAAAAATATCGCGTAAATTTCTGGTAAATTTTGACCTAATGAAGTTTAAGTTATAAATTTTTTTGGAAATTCTACAATTAAGTTCTGCATAATGTTAACGTTTATACGACTCTAAGTGAAAATAAAAGTAAGATCTCGCTATGAACTATGTCGCTGAAATGTAGCGTTAACGTAAAACATGTCTGGAGGAACACATAGATTACTAATAAAGTATTTTTTAATTCTGCGCGGACGGTGTCGCACGCGAAAACTAGTGGTAAAATAAATATTGAATTAAAGCAAAAAAAGGTCAAAGAACTTGTGCTAATCATAGTATTAATAATATTTGAGGATATTCTATATAAATGTAATCTCCTGGGTTATCCAACTCTATAGCGATAATAAAGGTAAATAAAAGTTAAATTTTTATTGTAAAAATATTACATAGTGGTAAAAACATCTCTATGTAGATACCTCGTATGCATCAGGTATAGGAGGTGTTTTTTAGCAATTTTTTTGGTAGCGAACGATGCGAACGCGCGATCGTTAAGTGAAAAAGGACCTGTTTCGACGCTTTTGTGCCCAAACTCCTCGAGACGGTAGCAGACGATTGTACAACATATTATCACCCTAATTAATCGTTATATGTTTTTTCACGGGCCAATTTGGATCCAAATATAAAAATGGCGGCTATAGGAAGACATATTAACTTAACTAAAAACTACCGGAAATTATTGTTAATTGAAATTTAAGCCACGAGTTTATCATCAAAATTAATACAGCACAATACAACAGAAACTAATTTTTCAAGTACATATTTTACAACATCTCAAGATGACATGTTTCGTGTGAATGTTATGGTCAATGAAAACTTATATTATTCAGAAACAAATGAACCGCGACCCCCGCGCTTTACAAAAAGTGATTAATGATCACAATAAAAATATTCTCTCATAAAAATTCATTCACATTATTAATTCTAATGCTCGTAACTCTTTGTGTTGTTTTTTTTTATACAAGAATTATGAAGAATGCGTCGAACAACGTTGGAGGCATTTTTTATATATAATTTATGTTGAATACTAACATTAGAAACGCTTCGCGATATTCATATCGGTTTAATCAACTTTATTTGTATCGATGAACTGTAGTGTGTTTCGATTGCTCTGACACTTGTATTAAAACACATCACTTTAAAACACGCGGACGGAGTCGCCCGCGACTATACTCAATTCGAACTTGACCCCTGAGCCACCGACGCTCGAAACTACTAAATGTGCCCCTTATTTTAATAATAAAACAATTTAAAAATAAACCAATCTTGATTTAAATAATAAAAAAATACATATAAAAATCTTAAAAAATCATAGTAATATCTCGTAAACGAATAAAGAAGATGAGTGTCAGGACCATGCTAAATGGAAGTCCTGGTCTACCTACCCCTCTGGGTTCCGGGCGTGAGTTGTAATATTTTGTTGTATTTGTTGTCGTTGTTGGGTTTTCTGTTGTACAATTACTTCTTCACTCAAATCAATTTCTTCAATAACAGGTTCAATAAATTTATTTCTAGACTTCACATGTGCTAAATAAACAGTCCAAACGAAGCTAGCAGCGCTGACAAAAACAATACGATTCTTCTCTGATACAAAATAGAAATTAATCGTTTGCGCCGTCGGCCAAAAGAGGGCGCCAATCTTATACGTCGGCCAGAATTTCTCTCTCACTTCGTCCACGCATTCATTAAAAGATTTCCCTTCTAACGCACTCATACCGAAAAAGAAATAAGCCATAGCTAAGGGAGAATATGAAACTTGTTCAATAACAGCTCTAGTTATAGCCGTACTCAGAGTTTTTCCCTTAAAGAATCTACTCGTGTATTTCATCCAATTGTAAAACACTGGGGCCATAAAAAACGTTCCAAAGATACCAAATCTGGCTGCTCTACTTCGGTCAGCATTTTCTAAAGTTGTACCATGTTCCAAATATTCTTGTACAATGCTGCAAGTGGGCCATATAATAGCGTATGACACCATGCCACGTATTAAAGGAAATTGCACCGGCAATCTACGTACTTTTGTTATTAAACCGCTCATTTTAATTATTTCTAGCTAATATTTAAGCATTTTTGTTTTTCTATCAATGAATTGTCAATTTCTGTCAATTTAACATAGATAATAAATTAAAAAGATTATACAGAGATTAAGAATAAAGAGTATTATAAAAAATATAAGATCAAAGTAAGCCATGTCCATTTTTGTTGTTAACTTCACCAGAAATCGTTGGACAACGACGCGACAATACTTACTATAATAATATTATAATTGCGAAAGTAACTCTGTCCGTCTGTATGATCCTTTTTCACGCAAAAACTACTGAATAGATTTAAATGATATTTGGTACACAGTTAGTCTAGATAGGTAGGGGGTAGACTCGGATATGACGGCTGATAGAGATGTATGGACGAGTAGTACATACTGTGCCGACCCTCGATAGGGATAAGGGCGGGTTGATGATGATGATGATGATGATGGCACACAAAGAGTCTAGAGCCCGGGGAAGGACATGCTACTTTTTAATACTGCATATGATAAAAGGCACTGCATTAAACATGGGTTTCTGAGACCAAAATAAATGATAATCGACTAAGATAATGACATTTTACTTGATTCAGATTTTGATCTCAGAAACCATCGGTAATCATGACCAAACGTATCCACTCAACCTGACTGAGATGTAAATTTATAATTTATAACCTCTTGTTATTACACGAGATATCTATCTAAACATATATAAAAAAATTGCAGTGTCTGTATGTAATATCAGAACAAAATCATATTTCGTAACATTTGACGAGGCTCTGAAGGAAAGGATACATAGGAAAGTATTATAAGCTAGTTATTTATTTGATTAATTCTGCGCTGACGAAGTCGAAGGCGACCGCTACTCTAATTCTATCAACGAGCGAACAAATAATACTTTTAATTATTAGAAAGAAAACATTTTGATATCCATTTAGTAATCTAGGCTTGCAATCGACCACCCAATGCGAAGCGCTAAGAACAATCGAATACTTTCAGTTATTAATCGAATAATTCGGTCATTATTCGATTATTTAGCTCGGGTGAATCGATTCGGCGATCGCTTTGTGATAGGTGACGCTGCAAAAGCGTGAGGTCCGCTTATGTGATCATTCAATTGGACACCAATTAACTGGGATATTTATACTTTTAACCGTTACAATTTATTTATAAATATTTTAAATGCTAAGAAACTAATATAAAAAATTGCAAATGTATTTTATGTGAAAAAGTTAACATAACTAGGTAAAAAGTCAAGTAAGAAGTTTAGTATTGCTTACCAATAAAAAAAACTAACATAGTTAAAGGATATTCGCTTGATTTACTTTCCTAATTAGACTTTCCCAGAGTTAGTGCCCTTTATAAAGTTTTTTCAACTCTTAATAATGTTCTACATATTTTTAAAAACAAATATTTCTAAACATAATATAATAATTATTATTACATACACATTATTATGTATTATTATTTACACAAATATATAAATGTAACTTATGTACAATACTTAAAAATAGCATTCACATCTATTGGTTTTTTGAAGATTTAAATATTGTTAAATCCAAAGCGCCATCTATTACTTGCATAATGTCTTTAGATAATGGGAGACGAGCTTTGTACGTGAATGTGTCAAATAATAAAAACGCATTCACATAGATGGCGCTACGGTCTCTTTATTTTTTAATATTCCTACTCAACACTAGATGGCGATAAAGACACCGTGAAATTAAAAAAAAAGAATTTAATGTAAATAAAACTTTTTTCCTTTATTGGAAAAGTTTAGTTGAAACAATTATATTAACGTTTATTAAAACGTAATTATTTAAACGTTTTCCTAATAGGTAATAAATTAAAAAAGTTCAATTTACTTCTGCATCTTCAATTCATAAATCTTAAAAAGTAAAGATAAAATGACTAATTTATTATTACATATTATTAAATAAATTCAAAATTCGAATTCGGTTCTCATTAAAAAGACATTCACTAAGGGCTTTTAAAAAGTCATTTCAGTATTTACGACTCTGAAAAACCTAATGACTTTATCATAAAAATCTTTAAATGCGTTAAAATTTTAAAAAGATAATAAAAAAATTACAGCATAGACTAATAAAGCTTTTAGAAACAGGTGGCGAGCTTTCCCATAATGTACAGGTTCCCTATTCCCATATTTGAGTATATCGGGACACGTGTTTAGGGATCAATATCTCATATTGGCGCCGGCGCCTGCGCCCGACCGATAGTGCCATCCCCTACACTAACAAACGGTTGAAACGGCGCGGTTGAAACGACGCGTTTTTAATACAACGTAAACAAAATATTGCAGTTTGATTTTTTTTAAACATATTAATGTATTATGTCCACATCACAGTAAAATTAATGATAAAAGTAGGCTAATTTATAACAATACTAGCTGTTATCCGCGACTCCATCCACGCAGAATTAAAAAAAAACTGAACCTATGTGCTCCTCCATACTATGATGTACATCTGTGCCAAATTACAGCAAGATCCAAGCAGCCGTGCTGGAGATAGCTTCTAAGAAACATCCATCCATCCTTAGTTGGATGTAAGTAACATTCGCATTTATAATATTAGTAAGTAATAATTTTATGAAGTGCTAGATATGGAGTATATCGTGTCCATTAAAATCAAAGTAGAAGCAACTCTAAATTTCAATAAATTTAGTTTTAATGTATGCTTTTAATATTAATAAGAATGTCCAAGGCAACTTTCAAATACAATTGTTGTTATTTTCAAGGGTAAAAACAGAAATAAAGATAAAATAATCGTATAACCGCCCGTTCATACGACCCCACCCTCAGCGAGGTATGGTAGCAATTCAGATAAAAGCGATCTTTACAAATTGAACTGAAAAACTTTAACTCAGCTCTCGTGTATATATTTTTTGTCTGTTCACTTGCGTACAAATTTTTGTGAGTATATTGGACTTATATAAACAAAAATTTATTAATTTTAACATACGAAGTTTGTAGACCGTTAGGCTAAGGGGAAATTTTTGTTTTATTTAAGAATTAAAAAAAAATAGTTGCCTATGTGCCTGTGTTCTTCCAGACTATGTTCAACATCTATGCTAAATTTGAGCGAAATCTGTTCAGCCGTTCTTGAGATGTGATGAGATGTACCTTTAAACAAACAACCATCCAAACATTCGCCTTTTTAATATTAGTAAGAACAACATACAGATTAAATTAAATGATTAGATTTATCGTAATGCGAAGAGACGATTGGCAGATAAACAAGAAAGTAATGATATTGAATGTTGAAGGTCAACGAAAATATGGATGGATTGTGTGAAAGAGGATATGCTTAAGAAGGGAGTGAATTCAGATATGACAGCTGATAGAGATGTACGGAGGAGTACTTATTCCGACCCTCCGTATGGAGAACGATGATGATGATTAGTATTTATAACATCTACCTGATATATTTGGGTCAAGGCTCGTATACCTATGCGGACGAGAGCGAAAGCGTGCCCGTGGTCCCGTCCCGATGCGTTGGAGGAACAGAGAGGTTCAGTGGGTATGCCTCCGCTATGGAGGAGAATCCCACATAACTACCGCGTCCCCCCCGGGGCGCGGAGTATGCATAAAGCATTCCTCTCTGGGAAAAAATGGCTCTTATACCTATGTATTTTCGAGAAATACTTTCGCTGTGTTTTCATACACTGTTATCCTACTTTCACAACTACACAATAACTTAGTAATTGCAAGAAACTAAACTCTCGATTAGATAAAAAAAATAATAGGAAAAGCTAATATCAGATAAAAAAAATAGAATTACAGATTTAGGGCATTCAAATTTACATTGTTTATTTAGGATGGAATGTTTTAAAGGTGGATTACCATCCAATGCTTTAAGACTAAAATTCTATTAACAAAGCTAGGAGAGGAAGAAAAGTGTAACTATCAGTCAACCGCGACTTACCGTTGGTTACTGAGACCAAAACCTCTATATAAAACATATCATCATCCCTGTAATTATCTGTGACAAAACAGAGATAACAATATGTTTTAAAACGGGGATTTTAGTCTCGGAAACTCACGTTTAGTCCGTTTATGGACTGGAATAAAAGTAACATTTTAGGTGATATTTTTTATTTACAATATACTGACTTATTTAATTTAAACTTAACACTAATTTCAAAATACATAAAATTGCACAGAGCGCAGTCGAAACTTTATTTTTTTTAATTCAATAACAATTATACTCTTTGGTGATCAGTCTATTTTGGCACGTTTAATAAAATCATGTTTCATCAACAAACATAATTCATTGTATAAAATTTCTTAATATCATTATGTTCCGTGTAATCATTCTCTCTAATATTCGTGTAATCTGAAGATGTTCCAACATTTTGTTCCATATCTATATGTCTATAATATTTATCTTGTACATTATCGTAGTTCAAACTATCGTCGAAATAAATCGGCATGCTTTCATTTGTATCACAAATGGGTTCATTTTCAGTCTTCGTAGTTACATAATGTTCTATTTTAATTTGATTGACTTCAGTTTCTGGTTTGTACAATTTTCTTCCTGTACTTTTACTTGGTTTTGCATCCGTTGATGTTGAAACTTCTGGAGTAGTTATTCTTTTACTTTTATATCTTCTATTTTGGAACCATATTTTAACTTGTGTTGGTGATAAGTTCAATGTTTTCGCAAGTTGTTCTCGTTCTGGTGCGGTTAAGTACTTCTGTGCACGAAAACGTAATTCCAAAGCGTGCACTTGTGTTTGGGAAAAGAGGATTCTCGGTTTTCTTTTTGTATTCTTATCTTTTTTGTCCGTTTTTCCGTTTGTCACTACTGCCTCTGTAATTAAGAAAAGACTGGTTAGAAAGATAAATATTAAAAAAAAATTATCTACATTTAAAATTGTCCGATCCGATTCTGGATTCGATTGTCGTACGAGAATATTCCTTACGATCTAAAATAAGCTTGATACTTTACTTTTTTAATATGAAATGTTCTACTAAAGCAACATTCATATTTTGAGGCCAATTTGCTCTATTTTTTTTTAATTAGTGGCATTCATTGTTTTTTTTTATATCAAAAGGTGGCAAACGAGAAAGCGGCCACCTGAAATTGCTGAAATAGCGAAGTGACCGTTGCCCATGTTTGCACTTATGTTAATATATCCAAACTAAAATCTTACTTGTTGTTTTCCTTGTTATATTATTAAAGGTTTCCAATACATCTGCTTTGGGGTAAGTATTAAAATTTTGTAGATTTGGTTGTTGAGTTTTATCAGGAACTGGACCTAAAGGTGGCATCACACTGGGCGGGTCTCTCTCAACACTATCGAGTTTCATTGAACTTTCTCCTGTTTGGACAGGAACTTCTTGATATTCGTGTGTCTGATAGAAGTTGTGATAATATTGATTGTAGTTATAAAATTCATCGACTTTATGATCGTATTCAGGATTCCAATATTCCATGTTACTATGGACTGGTATATTGTGGTATACTTGACTGACGTAATCAGGGCAGTATTGATTTTGATGGTATACAGGTTCGATATCATTTATTCTTCTTTCATTCTTCCACATATCGTTTCGTTCGTAATAATTTTGATTTATATTTAATATATCCTTCACTGAGAATGGTGTTGTTAAATTAGTATTATCGTCGATTTTCAATCTATAATTCGTTTCTTCCTTATGTTGACTTTTCGAGTTTGTTTCTTGGTAGTTATAGAAATCGTTTTTCAATTCGTTGTAGTTGTGTTTTAAATTATTATTGTTATATGCGATTTGTTCGTAGGACTCCATGTTTTATTTCACTTTACACTAATTCATTTTACACTATGACAAATGGTTGTAGGACGCGCCTGATTTAGGTTGATGTCCAAATGACTTTCAATGGAAGACTGATGGTGCTAAAGATTGTGCTTCGAAACCAATCCACGCCCGTTGTGGGCGGAGCTTTGGGTTATATTGTTGTCCTTTTCTTTTACATAAAAGATCCCTGTCTATCTTTCTCATTTTATCATGCCGTATGTTTACTACGCGGCGTAAATAAACGGGTGAGTGATTTCATTTGGCGGGTGCGTGTTTGATCCCTTTTCTCTGATTTGGATGACGTAATTTTATTATGGGCTTTAACTTGTTTATTTGATTGAATTGCGGCTTAAATTTGTTTTTAATTATGTTTATTAAAATTCGGTAGAACAACAAACTCAATCCACCTATAAAAACTTTTCACTAATCCATCACTAAAAAAAACTTATAGTTTTATTAAAAGAAAAATATATGTATTTCCTTTTAAAAGATAGTTTGGTTTACACCATTAGTATCACTTTCACTGTTAATAAATTATCTGTAGAAAGATATTAGAAATTCTAAAAAATTATAAAGTCTAGTAAAAAAAATGATGAAAACCAAGTCTCGAAAATTTTGCGGCAATGTAAATCGGTGGTGGCGTATATAAATTATGTTTACCTCTAACCACGTTAGTCTTGAAACAGTAAATAAACAAATTCTTCGTTATTCCATCAACAAGCAGTCAAGTACCGTAATAGCAGCTCAATCGCCGCAAACCGACGACAAAAATGTTTATACAATTGTTCACACCTTTAAAGTTACACGACCATTGGTTGAAATTTGACCATAATTCAAATTTTGTAAACAAAAATACACACATAACAGTGGTAGAGCCCGGTTTAACATCTTCGCACGAATTGGCTCGCCTCGCCCGCTGAAATACCACGACTATACAGAAGACAGGCGTGAAGTGGAAGCAATTCCGCGTTTCCTCTGATGAGTGGTCCCGGAGGCCTAATTTAGTCCTCTTTCCCATACCACCCTTTTTCTTATAAGGAAAGTATGGGAAGTGAAAGATGACTTTCCGGATGAGAGGATGCATGGAAAGGGAAAATATTTTCTTTTTGTGCATCCTCTCCTCCGTCGATTAAAGGTAGGCAACACATATGCAATTGCGTACGTCTATGGGCAACGGTCACTTCGCTATTTCAGCGATTTCAGGTGGCCGCTCGCTCGTTTGCCACCTCATGATATAAAAATAGGCTCTTTGAGGAAATATCAAAAAATTTAATCGACATCACAGGGGACTATAGAGCTGGCAGCTACCTCGGACAAAGAATTAGTTTAGCTATTCAAAGGGGGAACGCTGCCAGTATCTTCGGAAGCTTGCCTTAAGGGACTTCTTTTAATAATATATTTTAGTTAATTATTCGCTCATAATATTTTATTTAATATCATAGATTTTAAACTCATTTTATTCATATTGTATAAATACTTAATTTATTTTTAAGATCAACATCACAGCGTCATTTTCAAAATAAATTTCGCGCTATTTACTTCAAAATTTAAATATTATAAATGCGAAGGTTTGGATGAATAGATTGTTAGAGCGGCTGCATGGATCTAGTTGAAATTTGACAAAAATGATGGAACAGTCTGGAAGAACGCAGAAACTACGTTCTACTAAGAAAAGTTTCGGGCGACAGCCAGTAATATGAAACATAATATAAAGTGTAACCTATCGTTTTATTGTAAAACAATAGACCTGCCCAGGGTTTGCCCGGGAAAAAAGTACAAATACGGATGCAAGTTTGATTATATTAAATTTCTTTTATCAAATGGTCGACTGGCGTAAGCTCTTTCAAGCCTTTTTTTCCATGTAAATTTCATATTATAATTACAATAATGTTAGAATTTCTTCTTGATATTAAAATATTAAGTTATTTTTTTCAAAGAGACGAAACTTTTTTTTTATTATCATCCAAAAAAAAATGCGTTGAATGTTCCAATTCGTAACTGCCAAAGCGTAGACATAAAACCGAAGTGACAGTAGCAATAAAAATTATCTTTTTTTTCTGACATTTCTTTTACAATTTTTTCTAATATAGTTCACCACTGGAGGTCATAAAATGTATCGAACACTTCCGTAAGGAAACCCGACACTTCACTGTCCTATAACTGCTCGTAACACGAGATATTTGAAACAAAGACCTATTTTGTTTATTGAATATATTTCTAAGCAAGACACGTGGCGCTTGTTCTATATTTAAATTAAGTTTTATTTAAATTTTTATAGTCTGCCAGTATTTCGAAAATAATTTTATTGCATTTTATTGTATATTACATTATAAGTTGTGGCCTGCAACTCCGTCCGCGAGAACTTAAAAATAAAATAAAAAAGAAAATATTGCAGCTCCAATTTTTATAACACATTGTTGTATAATTTCCACATCATAGTAAAAATAATAATAAAAGTATTTTAAGTATAAGACCACGACTCATTCTGCGTGGAATTATCAAAAACTTAATTAGTAGCCTATGTGTCCTTCCTGGTTATGTTCTACATCTATTCCAAACTTCAGCGAGATATATCAAGCCGTTCTGGAGATACCTTCAAGGAAATATCCATCCATCCATCTACACATTTGTATTTATGTCAGACAGATTACTCTAATTAAATTGATTTTACTACAATTTACATACAAATTTACATACATACGCGCGAAAAAAAACCCTCATATCGGTCGGTAAAAATGTCCTTCCTGAGCCTCAATACAAACTGTTTTATCGACATCTGTGACGTCATACAATGATTTATGAAGTGTAATTAATTTGAAACTGAGCACGCAAATAGTGGCTGGATGTAATAGGGTTCTCTCCACAATACATATTAAAACAAATATTAGTAAAGCAAGCATTTTAGAAAAGTAAATATAGAAAATATCTTACTAATATTATAAATGCGAATGTTTGGATGGATGGATGTTTGTTTGAAGGTATCTCCAGAACAGCAGAACGGATTTCGATTAAATTTGGTATACATATAGAACATGGAAGAACACGTAGGCTACTAATAAAGTATTTTTTTTTTCAATTCAGCGCGGACGGAGTCTTAGGCGAAAGCTAGTTTGAAATAATATTATTTGATATGTGACTCTTTTATTAAAGTAATAAATGAATTAAGAGGAAATTAATAAAAACTTGAACTTATACTTTGGAGAAAAAATAATCGAATGTAAGGGGTTTACTATCCAAAAACTAGATTATCCGTTTGGTCTTCAAATTTATAGACATAAAAACATACACACAAACCCACTATATTTTTATTCGGGTGAAAACAACCTTTTTGGTACGCCTAACCAATACCAGAAATTATTGAAAAAAAAAGCTCTTCCCTTTGCAATTAAAATAAGCAGTATTAGTGTTTTAGTAAACAGTATTAAAATGCGAAGTATTTGTTTGTCACGCCATAAATTAAAGGTTAAATATCCAAGAAACTTTTTAAGTGGCAACTTTAATGTTTTCTTAAGTTATGCGTTTAAAAAATGTCATCTCAGTAATAAACTTGCGTGTTTATGAGAGAACTTTGAAGTTTTCAAAAGTGGACAGTTTTAGGTCAATTTTTTCTACGCATATAACGTTTAATTACTATTTCTAGCAATTTTTATTTAGCAAGAATTAAGGTTTTGTAGCCAAAAGTGTCAGTAATAAAAGCATTAATACCTTAGGGTATAGAAAATATTTTGTAATCCTTATAATAACTTTGAATGGGGCGCACCAACCAACAAAATACTCTGGTAAAGTCGAGTTGAGTGCGACATAGCGCTTCAAAATCAAAAAAATATTTTATGTTGTTTTCTCATACGTTATTTGTTTTACAGCAATGATCTATATATATAAAAGAAAGTTGTGTTAGTTACACTATTTATAACTCAAGAACGGATTTACCGATATGCCTGAAAATTGATGAGGATGTAGCTTAGAGCCAGGAGACGGACATAGGATACTATTTATTCTTTTTTTTCTTTTTCTAATTTATGCCTTTAAGAGCTGCTTTTTAGGGTTCCGTACCTCATAGGAAAAAAACGGAACCCTTATAGGATCACTTTGTTGTCCGTTCGTCCCTCTATCAAGACCCTTTTTATTTAACTTATCTATATATTAAGGTTTTTTATATATCCAGGAGAACGGAGTCGCGGGCGACAGCTAGTTAATTAATAAAAATGTTATAATTACGTAGTCAAGATAACATAGTGTTAGTCCGGTTAGAGAAATCTTTAGGAACGAACGGCGCCTAAACAGAATGATTCGTTTTGCTCATTGGAAATAGATTGAATCCGTCTCGTCCGTCCGTATGTCTGTGATGAATGTAGTGCACGTGGGTGTTTGATGTATTAATATTGGTAGTGCTTTTAAGGTTATCTCTGTATAGAAGGTGATCTGGCCCGATAGTCCGATACCATGCCACCCGCGAGTACACCCGACCGAAATAGTGGTCACAAGTATAAATATTTGTTTTAATTTTATTTTTAAATAATTATTTTATCTTTTTTGAATGAATACATTTATAGTAAAAGAATAAAAGCTAGTATTTAGGTAAAAAAGACTTTTGGTAGTTTTTGTGAGTATCTTTCGACTATATCACAGATAAAAATAAAAATGTCGTACAATTTCATTGTATACTTAAGCAAACTGTTAACACATTAATAAAAAACTAAAATCAGCAAGAACAATAACTGTGAAAATGTATGAAATTCTAGACAATATTGAGCTTAAAGTAAATGAAATTATTACTAAATAAAATACGTTTAAATCCAAAGCTATTACCGTTTTACAGTATTGCGTGCGCCTGTACACCATTACTAAGCCCGCGCAGTGCGCGCGCTCGTTAGCTTTTATTTGGACGCCGGACTCCTGTTCCAGCGTCTGTACACTTAATAACAATTTAATAGGGCCTTACAAAATTTATACATTAAGAAATATCCAATATTTATAAGCAAGGAATCACAGCAAGGAAGCGCTCTTTATTTATTTAACTCCAATTTTTTACTACCGCGTTTATTAGTGTAGTTGTGAATTTTGATA